TTAATTCTTCTTTTCAGGAAGCCAGGTCTGAGGTAGGGGCTGAGCATGTGAAACTGAAGAGACAAGCCTCCCAGTTGGTAGGGGAGAGGCCGCTCCACCCCAATGCTCAGCTCTGCCCACCGTGCCCTTTCCTGTGCTGTTGCCTCACATAGCAAGATGCTCCCTTTTCCAGCTATTGTGTCTGCTTTCTGGGCAGGAGAAGGGGAAAGAGCTATGTTAGCGCAGTTTGTCCTTTTAAAATGCCTTTCTGACACCCATACCCTCTAACTTCCCCATATATTTCATTGGCCAGAACTGGGTTGCCTGGTCACCCATATTTTTAGCTGGGTTCATTGCGTTCCCAAACCACATTGGGGTCTGCTAGAAAGGAAAAAGGGGAGAAGGGTATTGGGTGCCATGAAGTTGACTGGATTGGAATTTTTGGCTAAGAATGTCCTACTTGGTAAGTCACCAGCCCCTTCTCTGCATCCAAAGTTGGCCACAGTAGAGAATACAGAGTGGAATTCTGCCGAGTTGGGGGTTTCTGCGGATATCAGAAGCTAGGAAGAGGAAGAGGGGTATTCCGGGCACACACCTTCCTCATGCTAATCCTTGAGTCCTCCCTTCTACCTGAAAGCCCTACTCGGAAATGCAGGGTGGGGTGCAGGGGCGCAGGACCAGTGGGAGCAGGCAGTTTTGCTAGGCAGGGGAGTGAAGTCTGAAAGCTGCCCCAGAACCTCAGCACCTTCCGGGAACCGGGGCTGGGGGCTTAGGTATTGTCCTGCACAGCCCATCCTCGCCATGGACAGCATGGTGTCCATGGTCATAGGCTTCTCTCCCTTCCTCCAGGCTCGGCCCAGCTTCCTCCCTGAGGACCACTCACCCTTTCCACCCAAGCCGTCCACCTCGCTGGGGCAGGATCTGTCATGCTATTGTGGGGCTCACACTTTCTCTCTTTTTTAAAAAAATATATTTTTTATTGATTTTGGAGAGGAAGGGAGAGAGAGAGAGAGATCGAAACATCAGTGATGAGAGAGAATCATTGATCAGCTGCCTCCTGCACGCCCCCGACTGGGGATCGAGCTCGCAACCCGGGCATGTGCCCTTGACCGGATTCAAACCCAGGACGCTTCAGTCCTCAGGCCGACACTCTATCTACTGAGCCAAACCGGCGAGGGCAAGCTCACACTTTCTTAAACGGCAGTCTTTGAAGTGAGATAGCCTGACCAGTAGCATCAGCATCACCTGAGGCTTTGTCAGAAATGCACATTCTTGGGCCCACCCCGGCCCCTGAGACTCTGGGGGTAGAGCCCAGCCCTCTGTTTCCAGCCCTCCAGGTGATTCTGATGCCCGCTCGCTAGCTGACCACTGACATAGAGGGCTCAAAGGCTCTGAAACAGCGTCTGGGCTGTGGGTGGCACCCCAAAGGCAGCTGGGAAGGGCAGCACTCTAAAAAGGAGTCCACCTGGCCCTCTACGCTCCAGCACAGGCCAGACCAGGCGATAACGCTGTGAAGACTGAGATTTGGAGTCTAAGAATAACTGTTAGAGCTAGAAACTGATATAATTTTATAGATTTGGGCACTGAGGCTGAGACAGTAGAAAATATTTGCCTAAACTGAGTAGCAAAAGTGGAACTAGAATTCAAGTTTCCTGAATCCTAAGTGAGAGACCCAATTTTTTTCCAAATTGAAACATCTTTAAAAAAAGGGTACTATTTATACCTGTTGGGAGAATCTTTTAAAAGAATGTGGTTCTAAGGAGCCATCCTCATGTGAAGAATGCCCTGGGGAGGACTCTGAGGTGGGTGAAGCCCTGTCTGCCATGTGCTGTGTGGGCCAGGAGGACCTGCCTGTCCTCACGGTTGTCACTCCCCTTCTCACTGCCCTTCTTCCACCAGCACAGAGGCCTCTCCAGATGAGACCAAGGTCAGGGGCAGTGGGCCTCAAGCTTACTGTGTCTTCAGAGCCCTGAGAACAGGATTGCAGAGCTGGGCAGCTGTGCACACAGCAGGCCAGCACACCCCAACCACTGGTGGGGCCCAGGGCAAGAGTCCCCACGGAGGCCTACCTACCATGTGGCTACAAATTTAAAAGTTACAAACCAAATAACAAACTTAAATAAAAAGTGTTTTGTCTTCCCCTTTAACAAATGAACCTTTATAAAGACTTGGCAGGCTGGAATATGAGGTGCAGAGAGAACAGGCTCCCACCCCATAGCCCACCCCTCCTCTTCCCGTCCAGGCTCCATCCCAGACTTGGAGGGGCCTGTGCATGTCAAGTGGACACCTCGGCCTGTTCATCTCCTGCAAAGAGCCACCTGTGACCACCGTTGGGAGGCAGGACCTGGAGAAGGGAGAGGCCTGCCCAGACCTGGAGGCTGGCTCAGGACTGCTCAGGAGCCTGGTGTACAAGATGGGGTGTGTCTCAACTGGCGTGGCTCAGTGTTTGAGCATCGACCTATGAACCAGGAGTTCATGGTTTGATTTCCAGTCAGGGCACATGCCTGGGTTGCAGCTCGATCTCCAGAGTGGGATCTCTCATCATTGATATTTCTCTCTCTCTCTCTCCCTCTCCCTTCCTCGCTGAAATCAGTAAAAACATTAAAAAAAAAAAAGATGGGGTGTGGGCTCTGGGCAAACGCATCCCTTTTCCTGTGACTTCTCCTGCGGCTGGAGGGGTGCTGTCAGAGAAGGACTTGAGCAGATGCCCCTGAGGGCTGCTCCTCCCAGTGTGGGCACCACCTGGGAGCTGTGTAGAGCTCTACTCTCAGCCACGCTCCAGATCAGCCACAATCAGCATCCTAGCAAGGTTTGGGATTTGTGTGCACACCCAAGTTAGGAAAGCACTGCTCTAACGCACAAAACCCAGGCCCAGGGTCTCTCTTGTCCAGGTTTGGGGGTACTAGCAGTAGGTATCAATAAGTATTTGCTCAATGAACGCCAAATGTCACCTGGAACAGGCCTGGTAGCCACCAGTTGGGGTGGCTGCCTGGCTCACAGCGCTTTCATTTCCTTTTTCTCTGGGGCCTCAGTGGCTGTTTTCACTGTGCCCTGGCATGAGCTGATTGGTCCTATAGGAGTCACCTGGCCCATAATGGGCCAATCAGATGATTTCGCTCAGAAATTTGAAACTTAAGCCCAAAAAACAAGCTCCTGGAGTAAGCATGGTGCTGAGTTTTATGTGCAGATTAATCCGGTCTTCACAACAACTTCAGCAAGTGGGTGTTATTGTTCTGCTTATTTTTCAAAGAGGAGACAGGGCTCCCAAAGCTCAAGGGGGCCAGGGGCAGCACCAGGAGGGCTGAGGGATGGGCTGACACTGAGCATGTGGTGTGGGGTTGGGTGGGGTAGGGTGGGGTGGTGTGGGGTGGGGTGGGGTGGGGTGGCCTGGGGTGGGGTGGGGTGGTGTGGGGTGGTCTGGGGTGGGGTGGGGTGGTGTAGGATGGGACACCGTCGTCTGCTGCCAGGTCTCCAGCCCCAGGATGACTGGGCCAACCCCCCAGGAATGGCTGTGTGCAGGGGAGTGACCCCGGCCCTGGGAGATGGCTGAGGCCGGGGAGGATGGGTGGCCGGGGGACAGAGTGAAGGGCAGGAGATGTGGGGGAGGGGAGCATAGAGAACCTCCATTCCCCAAGCAAGAGCAGGGCGCTGGCCAAGACCAGCGGGCCACCATGCTCCAGGACAGGCCCGCGAGCTCCCACTGTGAGGACTGCCGGAGGTCAGCCCCCCTCCCTCCCTCCCTCCAGTGAGTTCGCAGCTAACCTGCCGGAGGAAAGGTGTGGGCGGCACATCGTGGGGGCACAGGGGAGGGGCAGGGACGTGTGCATCTTCTGTTCACCCCAAGAGGCTGAGGGGCGGAGGCAGCTGGGCTGCACCAGGATGACGGAGGCCCTGTGAGGTCTGAGGACCGGCCCCTAGGGGAGAGGGCAGCGGGGGCCTCACGGGCTGGAGGCCAGGCTGGACCCTGATTCCGGTTCTCAGGGAACAGGGCTCTGAGGGGAAACTGCCACCTGGGCAGGGCTGTGGCCTGGATCTGGGCAGGGGTGTGGCCCACCATCTCAGAAGACAAACCAATCAGCAGCAGGACGTTCTATCAGAACCCACGTTTGGCTTTATTGAAAACACACCATCTCCTCTGGGCACTAACACAGTGGGGGCCGCCTGCCGTCGCCTCACCGTCCACACCGCACGCACTCAGGCCACACCTCGGGCGCTCTCCGCGCAGGGGCCACACGCTGGCGGCTTTCTGACCCAGGGCAGCCACACTGAAGTACACATCTCACTGCACGGATCTCCCTTTAAAAAATCAAACATCATCAGTCAGAGAAGAATCCTTTGCTGCCCCAGTGGAGAGGCTCCAAAGCTTGAGAGCAGAGGGGGTCCTCCTGGCCCCTCATGGTGGGGGGGGGGGCGGCTTGCCCAGCATGGTGGCCAGGACCCTCAGGACGGTGTGGCGATGGCCAGGATGCTGCCAGGGGCCTCCTTTGCGGCTGAGGGACGGCAGGGACCCCACGCCCACAGGTGGGGGCGCAGCACTGGGAGCCCTGCTTGTCGTCAGTGTCTCTGAGACCCCGCAGACTGAGCTGGAAATAGCTCCCGGCCCTCGCGGCTCCCGGTCTGCTGCCGCCGAGGGGCCTGCTCCTGTTTCTTCTCTCTCTTTAGTTTCTCAGGGAGCAACATTCAGGATGAGAGCTCGCAGAGCTGGAAAGGTCTTCTGCTCCTCAGACAGCTGTGGCAATAATGGGGCAGAGAGAGGACCCTCTCCAGGCACTTCCGCCGACTCACAGGCACAGGGAGAGGGGCCCTTCCTCTGGGAAAGTGGCTTCAGGTCACCCAGGGCCCTGGCTCTTCTGACAAAGAGAACGGCACCTCCCACTCCCAGGGCCTCAGAGGCCCTCGAGGTCCCGGCCGCCCCTGCTCCAGGCCCCGAGCTCCCGGGCAGCCAGTCCCTGAGGCTCAACCCTTCGCTCTGGACCCGACTGCTGCTGCCCGGTGGGCAGGCAGGGCTGCGTGGGGGGGCGGAGGGGGAGGTGGGGTAGGGGGTCACACGGCTGGTGGTCTGAGGGGGTGGTCTGAGATGGAGCCGAAGCAGAGGAAACGCAGGAGGAGGGACTCCTGCTGACTGGGCTTCACCCCAGGGCAGAGCCTGGTGCAGCCGAATTCACCGACTGGCAGGGCAACAGCATGTCTAGCTCTGAGCCTCCCTCCTTACAGCAGACAGATGTTCAGGCAGAACTTTAGACCTTGACCCTGCCTCGGGCCCCAGGCCTCTTAAAAAAATCTTACTAAGGAGCATTTCCGTGGTCTGAGGAGCCCTGGAGGGTGTCGTCCCAGTGGCCCAGCCCCGGCCACACCAGCCAGCAGTCGGGGGGCCGGTGGTCCCGGCCACACTGAGCCACACAAGACGAGAACGTGGGGCTGCGGTGCCAGAGGCGTTGGCTCCGTGGAGGGCCTGGCTGCAGCTCATCTGGTGGATGCCGTGGTGGACAGACACAGAGTCCTCAGGAGGGGGGCTGGGACCGAGTCTTGAGGACAGATGGGGGCGCGGGGGCTGATGGAGGGCAGGGTCTTTCTCCAGAGGGGAAGTGGGAACCAGCAGGGAGGGCCCAGCAGGCCCTGTCATCTCACAGCCCCCTGGGCGGCTCCAGCAGAGGGGCCGTGTGGGAAGCCCGCTCAGCCTGTTTCCTTGGTAACTGGCCTTTTCCAAGCCCAAGCCTGTGCGGCCCCTGGTGGGTGGCGGGAGCTGCAGGTTTGGGGGGCGGCAGTGCCAGTGGCGGGTGGGCCGTGCCTGGGAGGCGGGCCAGCTGCCTCAGGTGCAGAGGGACAGGTGGTGGGGGGAGGCAGAGGCTGGGTTCCAGCAGGAGAGACCTGCTCGCGTCCAGCGCGAGGCTGGGGGACTTTTCTTGCACATCATCTTTTCCCACTTGGAAGCCATCACAGGCACTTCAGTGTCGGATCACAGCTCCGAGGAGCTCCGTGGTGTCTCCCATTTCCTCTCCCATCACACGTTTCTCGCTGAGTGTTCGCTGGGTTTACTGAGGAGAACGGCCTTATTTGTAGAGGTTTCTGGGTCGGTTTCCATTCCAGGGGAGGGGGAGGCTTGCCCAGGGCGGCTTCAGAGGGAGAGCTGGAGGCGGCCGGCCGCGAGGGCCAGCGGGAGCAGCAGCAGCGGCAGCGGGGAGGCGCTGGAGGCCGCGAGGCCTGGGGATGAAGCACAGGCGTTAGGCCCAGGCACCTCGGCTGGACCTGATGGCGCACATTTCCTCGCGCTCAGCTCACCAGCTGCCTCTTTCTATGCTGCTACAATTTTTCTTTCCCGTTTTTTGTTTTTTACATATTCATTCCTTTCAAAATTATAGCGCCTGTATATTTATGTAGCTGCCTCATCCTTTCTGAAGGTTATTTTTAGCCTTTCTATTCATTATCCAGGTCTGTCTGGGCGACACAGCCCGTTTCTGCTGCAACTCCCTGCAGCGCCCCCGCCCCCCCCCCCGCCCCACACACACACACTTCACCTTGATCATCTGTAGCGACCTAGGGCGCCCTTGAGTTCACTTAAGGCTCGGGTGACAGACTCGGGAAGATGCAGGGCAACATGGCAGGACGCCTGCTCTTCCTTTGTGGGCTGTGCACCTGCCCGTCCAGGGCTTTCCCAGCTGCCCCGCAGCCCCGGCCCTACCTGCACGGGAGCACTGCTGCGCCAGCATCCCTTCCAGAGCCGCCACGTAGTCGGGGCCCAGCCACTCGAGGTAGGTGGTTCTCTCCCTGACAGGCTCCGCCCGGATGGTGGCGTCCTTGAAAAGCAGATCTTGGCCATGATAGTCGGAGGAGTCGAACATTTTGAACCCGTTCTTATTGTGGTCATCTCCAAACAGGCCCTGGAAGCGCCACACGCAGGCCAGCTTTTTATCTGGGCCCACAACGGGCCACCCAGGGGCCGCTGCTGTCACTGCCCCCCCGCGAGGCGAGCCAGGGAGCAGGTTGCAGGGCACTAGGCCTCGGCCTGGAATCGCAGGCTGGCAGCTCCCCCACCACGGTCATCAGAAGGGATTGGAGTGAGGTGTGAGGAAGCTGCCACAGGGAGGAGTGGAGTGGCTATCAGTCTTTCCTGGGGGACTCAAGGATCCTCTTGAACAGCGGTTCTCAACCTTCCTAATGCCGCGACCCTTTCATACAGTTCCTCATGTTGTGGTGACCCCCCATTTCATTGTTACAAATTGAACATAATTAAAGCATAGTGATTAATCACAAAAACAATATGTAATTATATATGTGTTTTCCGATGGTCTTAGGTGACCCCTGTGAAAGGGTCGTTCGACTCCCAAACGGGTCGCGACCCACAGGTTGAGAACCGCTGCTCTTGAGGATCTGATGAAAGCGCTCAGCCTTCTCCCCAGAATAATGCACATCCAAACAGGGTCCGTCCCCCAGGGCATGTCAGAGAGTTTGGGGGGGAAGAGGTTGGGGGGGGTGGGAAGGGGTGGTTTAGGACCAGGACCCTGTTGTCAGACAGCCTGGGTGAAATTCTAGATGTGTTTTGAAAGTGCAGCCACCAGGACTTGCTGGTGGGTTGGATGCAGAGCATGACAGGAAGGCTGGAGTCCAAGACGACTCCCTAGGAAACAGAGAGGCTCAGGTGGGAAGACTGAGGGAAGGGCGTCCAGCCTCGGACTTGTTGGAAACACCAGTTGAAATGTCAAGTAGGCAGTTGCTAGATGCTAGTCTGAGGCGGAAGGGTGGGTGGCAGCGGACGGAAGATGCACACTGGGGAGCCGTCGGTGTATCGACGGAAGTTAACGGCCTAGGACTGGGCGAGGGCCACAGGGGTGCAGGGGCAGCAGAGGGAGGTTTAGGATTGAACCCTGGGGCACTCCTGCAGTCACAGGCCTGGGAGGTGAGGAGGGACCGGAGGCTGGCAGGAGGGGCAGCCAGGCAGGCAGGTGTGGGCCAGGGCCCGGGGGAGGCTCCAGGACAAGGGAGCTGTGCCCAGTGCTGTGGAGAGGTCAGGGAGATGAGGCTGCCAAACGGCCACTGGACGTAGCCACCTGGGTCCCTGTGCCCTCGACCAGGCGGTTCCGGGCCGGGTGGGGGCTGGTGTGGAGTCCTCTCCACCCTTAAGGGAGCCCAGAAGGGGAGGACTGGTGGCTCCAGAGCAGAGACAGCTCTTTGAAGGAGTTTTGCTGTGAAGGGCAGTGGGATTCTGGCTACAAAGGGATGTGAGACCAAGAGAGGTTTTTTGTTTCTTTTTAAAGATGGTAGAAATAGCAGAGTGAGAGTGGTCCAGCTGAGAAGGGCAAATCAATAATGCAGGAGACAGAGGGGAGAGTGGTTGGAGGGAGGTCCTAGGCTGAGTGACAAATCACTGAACCCCCGCCCCCCGCAGCCTCAGTGTCTCCTGAGGTCTTCTCCAGGCAGACTGAGGAGTGCGGGGGCTTGGCTCCCCTCCCAGCCACCCCACAATGACGTGGGCCCTGCCTGCCTCACCTGGGCCTTGTCCAGCAGTCCATACACGGCAAAGATGTTGGTGTCCGGCCGCACCATGACGGCGTGGGCCGGCATCTGTGCCAGGTTGCAGTCTTTGAACTGAAACACCTCGGCCCGGGCCCCATTGGGACACAGCAGCTCATAGTCCTCCGACCGGAGCTCAGCAGCCCAGGGCTCCGAATTGTGGCCTGAGGGGAGGGAGGGGAGAGGCTGCTGTCCTCCTGGACCCCCAAATCCCTGGCTGGGAAGAGGTGGCAGTGCCTGCCCCGCTCCCAGAACCCCCCATTCTCCAATTGGTCTCCCTATTGCCAGGATGAGAGAGCCTGCTGGGTGCAGTGTTGGTAGGAGCCACTGGTCGCAGGGAGTAGGGAGTGCCTACTCGGCGACAGGCGTTTCTCAAGCACTGCTCCATCCTCACGAGAGTAACGAGGCAGGCAGCCCCCCTCCCATTCTGGGGGTGAAGAACGGAGGCTCTGATCACTCTCAGGGAAAGCACCCCATCGGGTCTCCCAGGGCGCAGGCCTGAGGGTGGGATGCGTGTCTGAAGGTGGAGGTTGACCTCCTCCCCTGACAGCTGACGTTCTCAAACCAGATGGGGTAGAGCATCCTGTGTGGACCGATGAGAGGCTGTTCCAAGGGCCCCACCTGCAGAGAGTCTCCCTCGTTTGGTACGTCTGGGGGGCCAGGACCCTGGGCTTTAAAGCAGCCCCTGTGATTCTGAAGCAGGTTGGCCCAAAGGCTTCCGAGAAACAGTGCCCTTGGGGGTCATCACTTCTGTGTCTGCATGTCTTCACTTGGCACCCACCCTCGCCCCACTTCCCGAAGGAACGTCAGGCGGGCCCATGAGCAGAGACAAGAAAGAAAAAGGAAAAAGGGAGCCCTGGCCAGTGTTGCTAAGGGGCTAGAGCACCAGCCTGCACACCGAAGGGTCGCAGGTTCAGTTCCTGATCAAGGGCACGTACCGGGTTGCAGGGTCAATCCCCGGTTGAGGGTGCGTGAGGGAGGCAACCAACGGATGTGTCTCTCTGACATTGATGTTTCTCTCTCTCTCTCTCTCTCTCTCTCTCTCTCTCTCTCTCTCTCTCTCTCTCAAATGAGAGAAAAACAGTGCCCTTGGGGGTCATCACTTCTGTAGTGACTCCACCCCTCCTCCCAGGATGAGCCCCAGGCTCAAATGAGACAGAGAGAGAGAGACAGAGAGACAGAGAGAGAGAGATTCTTTCCCCTCTATCTAAAATCCATGGAAAAATATCATCTGGTGAGGATTAACCAACCAACCAACCAACCAACCAACCAAAAATATACACAAAAACAAAACAGAAAAGGGAAATGAGCAGCCCTGGAAGGTGGGTGTTCGCTGCAGGTGGTTCTGGGAAGGCCTCCCTGACCCCAGAGGGCAGAGGGGGGGCGGGGGGTCAGGACCAGAAAGGCTCCCAGGAGCCTGCAGGACACTCCACCCACCCTCCCGGGATGAGCCCCAGGCTCTTGGTGGAGGTTGGCAGGGGAGAGGGGCTGTGGCAACAGGGCCGGGAGCCCTTCTCAGCTCGGTTGGGGCAACTGGTCTGCAGCCGTGGTGACCTTCACAGGCAGGGGGTCTGAGTTCTGAAATATGAACTGCTGTTCTCCCTGCATGTCTTGCTTTCCCTCCACCCACCTCCGCCTCCCCTTCAGGACTCATCATGCCTTTTCTACACTGAGTTTTCGCGCAGAAGAGTGGGAGAGACTGTGCCTTGAGTGTGTGGGGTCCAAAGCCTGGGTATAGCAGGGTCTACAGACAGTGCAAACGAGGGGTGTTGGAGGGAAGCGGCCTCCAGTTTTCAGACGAAAAGATTCCCTGCCGGAGGGAGCGCAGGAAGGGGAGGGGCGTGGTGCATGTGAGGGGCCCTGCACCCTGACAGAACCCCGGTGGCCTCAGGGGTCCAGCACAGAGGTCCTGAGCTCTTTTCCCCAGAAGGAACCCAGAAAGGTGACTCTGGAGGAAAAGCCGCCATGTGCCCTGGACGGGGTGTGCCCTGCCTCTCGGGCTGGGGCTGCAGCGTGGCTCCCCTGCACCTGGCATTGACCTGCTCGGGACTAAAGACCAGAAGCTGCTGTGAACTGATGCCCCTGGAGAGAGGCCCCTGCCACCCCACCCCACCCACCCCACCCCACCCCACCCCTTGGCACCACACAGATACCCCAGTCACTCCACCCTGGGAGATTCCTGGTCCCTGAGTGAGACTGAGTATCTACCATTTTGGTGGAACATGGATTTGGACTCTGGACCCGTAAAGACAGCCGTGTGCCCTGTGTCCCGGATGTGTGGCCAGAGGTCTGTTCTAACCATGAGGCTCTCGGGGCCCCGGGATCCCCAAGGGCCAGAGACTTCTAGACTCCGTCTCTCCTGTTGCTGCTTGGCCCCCAATCCCAGCAACACCTGGTGCCTGGATTGTGCTGGGGATGGGGAACAGCCCCCCAAATCGGGCCTTCCCAGTCCCCATCATGTACCATCTGTGTTGTCAAAGACAGTCGTGTGCTTGACAAAGGCGACGTCCCCCGCGTTCTCAGCCAGGCACCTGCCACGCAAGAGGCCAAAGCGGGTGTCAGCAGGAGGGTGCCAGCCCTGTGCCCGGCCCCAGGCCCCCTGCCAGGCCCCCCAGAGTACCTGAAGGCGCCGCTGTAGCCGAAGTACCTCTCCTGGCTGTTGCCCACACACTTGTGGCGGCCCTGCTCGTCCCCCACGCAGAGCGCACACAGCGAGGACGGGTAGTGCCCGGGGTTGTTCACGGGTACGCAGCTGGCGCTAAAGAACTCGCTCACGGCTGGGGAGCAGGGGAAGGGCGGGGCTCAGGGGCCTGCGCAGAAAAGGCCTCCAGGAGGGAGAGGGGAGGGCTGCTCCCCACTGGTCTGCCCACCCTGCCTGGCCTTATGGCTCAGCCACCCATCTGCCCACCCAGCTCAGAGTAGTAAGGTCCCTGTGGGGAGAAAGCAGAGGCTGTCTAGATATAGGAATCCCACGGAAAACCTGGTGAGTGGCCACCCAGTCTTCCCTGGAACTCCCTCAGGGATGGGGAACTCACTACCTCATCAGCTAGTCGGTGCCCGTCAGAGCACCTGCCCAGCTGTCTGGGAGCGGAGGCAGCCAACCCCAGCACCTCTGTGTGCTTGTGGAGGTGACTAGAAACAAGAGCGGTGCCAGCCAGGGCAGAGGTGTGTGCGCATCAGCCCAAGGATCGTGCCAGCTGCCTCCTGCCCTCCTCGAATGTGCACGATTTAACACGTGGGGGCCCACAGATGGCACGTGGGGGTGCGTAGTAAGGTGTCTTCTTCAGTACTTACACAGAAGCCACTTGCCAACCCCCCCGGGCTGCTGGTGGTGGGAGCAGGCCCCCTGCACACCCCGCTCCCCATGCCCCTGGAGCCGGTTCCACTCTGGGTGGTAAGTGGGGAGGGGCACCATGGCACCCTCCACAGAACCACCAGGCACCCCGACAGTCACCAGAACATTTCCCACCCTCCCCTGTCACGGAGGAAGAGGAAACCTCCCCGGCTGCCTTCTGTGGGTCCTGGGGGAAAGGGTTCTCGACCCCAGCCAACCCCAAGGAGGCTCTGCGTCCCGCGGAGGGTGGCACCTGTGAGCACGTCGCAGTCCCTGGGCTGGATGAAGCCCCTCCGCACGAGGGCGCCCACGGGGATGTCCCAGCCGGCGGGGCTGCCCAGGGCCGAGTGGCAGGAGCGCTTGCCCCGCAGCTCGCTCAGGCTGAAGGCGGCGGAGCTGTTCCGCTTCACCACGGCCACCACGAAGTACGAGTTGCTCCTGTCCTCCGCTGGGCGGGCGAAGGGGACACCCGTGAGGCCCCTTACCCGTGCCTTCCTGGCCTCAGCTGGGCGAGTGCGGGGGGCACATCCCCGGGGCCCTTCTCCGCCCCCCCCCCTCCCGCCCTCCTGCCGCTCTGCACCAGGGGTGCCCTGCCCGGTCACAGGCTCAGCGTGCCCAGGCCTGCGGGCTGGTGGGGGTGCAGGAGCACATCCCAGGGGTCCCTCCTGTCCCCCCATCATGGAGAAGCAGCTCAGTTCTTTCTCCCACCCCTGCCCCTGCCAGCATCGTCACCAGAGGGATTTCTTTCTTTCCCTACACCCAGGTGGCATTTTCCTCGCCTCCTGGGAGAGAGATGGAGGCTCAGCCACGGCTGCAGAAGCATTTTTTCTAAGCCCAGAGACTTTTCACAACTGGGTGGAAAGGACTGGAGGTCGTGGCTGAAGAGGGCAGAGCACCAAGGCCTCAGCCCAGGCCCTTCCAAGGGGCGAAGGTGCCATGAGCCGGCAGGGAGGGGGGTCGCCTCTGTGAGCCGCATGGTCAGGCTGGACAGGGCCGAGGAGGCCTCTAGTCCAAGGTTGGTAAACTCATCGCCTGTTTTGTATGGCCTGGGTGACAAGCTAAGAATGGCTTTGATATTTCTAAAGGTTTGTTAAAAAACGAAGAGTATGTAGCAGGAGAAGAGAGTGTGGGCTGCAAACCTGAAGTGCTGACCCTTCACAGACCTTTGCTGACTCAGCCAGACTTTCAGTAACGAATGGGAACACAGGCCTGGGGCCGGAGCGCTTGCCTGTGACAGCCGCAGCCAGCCCAGGCCAGAGGCACTGAGGGAGAGCTGGAGCTTTTGGAACAGCCGAGAGGGGAAGTTTCTACACGTGTCAATATCAACCACCTCCCAGCCAAAGCCAGCAGCCTGGCCCCTGCACTCACGGGCATACTGCTCGCCAGCCGCCGGAACCAGGCCGTACGCCTTCCCCGCGGTGTAAATGTCCTCACCCCTCAAGGTCACAGCGTCGATCTGCCCAGCCTGCAGGGGGAGAGAGGGGGTGGCCAGGATGGGTGGGCTTCAGGATGGCGCTGGGTGTCGGGGTCTGATGGCGGTACCAGGGCCAGGTCTCTTGTGGGCTTTGGCTCAGGCTCCCCCTGTGACCCCATCCTGCCCCACCAGCCCCTTCCTCTCCTTGTGAAGATGCGTGGGCAAGAGGGGGTGCGCCTGGAGGACCAGAGGCCTGGGGCCAACCCCCACCAGCACTCCCGTTCATGGGTGTCTTTCATTCTTCCAGCAAATGTTTTCTGAGGGTATTCTGCTGCCAGGAGAGGGTCCCTGGCTGTGAGGGTCTGCTGAGCAGAACCTAGCATGAACCCTGCCCTCTTGCTTGGTATGGTTCTCCCCACGGAATGCCCGCCCTCAGAGGCCTGGGCGGGACACTGTATCCCTAGCCCCTGGCCAAGGATGGGCACACAGCACGGGTGTAAGACGTATTTGTGGAATGTGAGTGCAAGTGGGCGAATTAGAAGGAAACAGTCTGCGGGCCTGTGAAGGAGGCTACAGGGCTGCGGGCTGAAGCCCTTCCCGACGAGGCAGGTGGACACCCTGAAAAGAGCTCCTCACCATCCGGTCCCACCTACTTGCTCTGAAAAAATAGGAGGGATCTGGCCAGTGTGGCTCAGTGGTTGAGCATCGACCTATGAACCAAGAGGTCACACGGTTCGATTCCCAGTCAGGACACATGCCCGGGTTGCAAGCTTGATCCCCAGAGTGGGGTGCACCAGAGGCAGCTGATCAATGGTTCTCTCTCATCATTGATGTTTCTATATCTTTCTCCCTCTCCTCTCTTCTCTGAAATGAATAAAAACTACATGTTTAAAAAAAAAACAAAAACAGGAGGGGAGGAGTCCAGGAACCCAGGAGCTGCGGGGACACCTGTGGCCACGGTGGGAATTCATCCCTGACTGCAGGGCCTCACGCCAGCACCGAACCCTAGCCTCTGTCTCCAGTCAGAGCAGCAGGACAGGGCGGAATGGGCCTCTGAGACCAGGACCAGTGCTGCTGACCGTGGGTGGCGGGCATCGTAGTGGATATCCCCACGTCACTGTCATGGGCCATGACAAGCGTTAAAACAACAAAAGCCCCTAGAAGGTAATAGAGCAGGAACTATCAGCATACAGTGTACTTAGTAAGGGAAATACTGTTTTCTTTCATGTCACGCTATATAAAGAATTTTTAACTTAAATATCTGAAAGAGTTTTGTGTACTAGACTGTGACCTATGTAAAATGTATTTCTGAGTATAGGTCACTGTCAAAATGTTGAACAAACAATGACCCAAGCCCACCCCCATTGTGCACAAGGGGACACTGAGACGCAGAAGGGAGAAGGGCTTGCCCAAGGCTGCAGGGTCAGCGAGGGCCGAGCTGGGCCGGTCTCACACTCCTACTCCTGCCCACTGACCTCTCAGTGAGGAGGAGTCCCTGTGATCCCCGAGGGAAACAGCCCCCCTCTGCCTGCTCCCTGGGGTGGGGTGGCGGGTCCCTGTGGGTCCTCCCTCCTCCCCTTTCCCTGTGAAGTTGTCACAGGAGACCTCCTCCTCCCCAGGCAGCTCTGTGGGGCGGGGGGAGGGCAGGTAAGGACCATCCCAGGCACTGCCACCGTTCGCCCCCAGGTCCCGTTCTGCCCCTCTGGTCACGGCCCCCACCTGGATCCGTTCCATGCAGTGCTGGGGGGACTCGGCCGACACACACTGGATCTCCGGCCTGAGCGTCTGCCGGCTGAAGGCCACAGCCATGTCCCCACACTTCTGGATCTCAGGAGTGGACAGCACACACCAGTGCAGGTAGCGGGGCAGCCCTGTGTGAGTGTGAGCGCGTGGTCACCGCATACTCGCCTGCCGCAGGGGCCGCCCTGAGCATGGCCTGTGGGGTCGGGGCTTTGGGGGCTAGTACCTCAGCAAGAAGAGCTTGGAGTCAGACCCCAGGGAAATGCTGGCTTTTCCTGGTTAGCCATAAGGGGTAAGGTTTTTAACCGTCAGATCCTGTGTCTATATACAGAATCAGGATAATGCCCTCTTTCTTGGGGCTGCGAGGAAGCTTGAGGCAGACCATGGCTGCCAAGGATCTACCTCAGTGGCACACCATTTCCCTGGTTGTAGGTGGAGGAGGCACGGGGATGGGCTGGAGGCAGGAAGCCCGTGTGTGGACTACTGCAGTAGTCCAGGCTCTCGAGACAACGCCCGAGCCAGGGCCGTGGCCATGGTGGAGAGGAGGAGGAGTGAGGCATGGAGGGAGAAGAACAGGATTTGATGACTTCAGTGCTGAGGGGTAAGGCACCTTTCCCAAGACAGACCCTGATAGCCTGGATCCCACCCCTGAGAGGTGGGGCTTCCAGGGAGCCCACCACCCATGCAACTCTAGAGACACTTCCTCCCCAAACCCCAGAAGCAGGACAGTGGAAGTGACAGCCCCCCCCCCCCCCACTGCCGCCCCCGCCTCCCGGGGTGGTGTCCTCCCTGGCCACCCCTCCAGGAAGCCCTGCCATTCTTGCAGGCAGTCAGGCTGGGCTGGAACCGGAGGGGAAGAGACGGCTGGACTTACGGTTGGAGTCACAGAGGAGACCCTTCATGGCGCGCAGGTACTCAGGGCCCAGCCATGCCTCGTAGGTCTGTGTGGCGATGGGCACCAGCTCAGAGGTGGCGTCTTTGAAGAGCAGGTTCTTCTGGCCATAGGCCTCAGAGCTGAACATCTGGAAACTACTGTTCTCATGGCTGAACAGACGCTGTGTGTCAAGGGGGGCTGGTGAGGTGCTGCAGGGGTGCATCCCTTCCTCCCAGATCAGCCACCACCTCCTTCCTCCTGTGCCCTCGGGTCAGGAGCTCACTCTGAGGACGGGGTGAGGTGCCACCTGTCCCCTTCTGCTGTGCTCCCCAGTGTGTTCTGCCTTGTCACACTAGCTGACTAGACATAGGACTCAGGGCCCAGCTGAGGGATGGTACCAAGGACCAGCAATGGGTGTGGCAGTGGTGGCATGAACAGGGCAAAACTAAAGCTGGTGGGCCCAGCAGTCAGAAACTTGTCGCTCTTGTAAGCCGTGGTTTAGCAAAACATTAGTCACCATGTGTAATTACGGGTGTACTCGGACATTGATTGGTTTTGCCATTTTGTTTGTTTGTCCCTATGTTCCGGTTTTGCTTTTCAGAGTTAGCTAGCACAGTCAGTGCCTCCTACTCTGACCTGGCCTGAGGTTGGACACCACAGAGGCCTGGGTCCCCAGCTGGGGTGTGTCCCAGGGGAGGGCCTCTGGGGCCTGCCCCTCCAGCTCTGGCCGGCCCAGCTTCAGGGTGGCTCTAGCCTTGAGCTCCCACCCTGGTGAGAAACAAGAAGCCCAGCACCTCTCAGGAAGCGGAGTGGGATGCCTTGAACTCACCTGGCCTTCGTTGAGCAGCCGGAAGATGAGGCCTCCATCGGTGTCAGCCCGGACGACTACGGCGTGAGCGGGCACCCGGGCCAGGTGACAGCGTCTCCATTCCGTGACGTCGGCCCGGCTGCCATCCAGGCAGAGCAGCTGAAAGTCCTGTGACAGCAGCTCCTGGCCCCAGGAGGGCAGGGTTTTTCCTGGGAAATTGGGAAGCCTCTGGTGAGCGGACGGGGAGGATGGTGGTGTGTGTCTCTTAGGAGGGCCTCAGGGATAGCCCATGAAAGGGAGCCTGGGGAGAAGTTAGGGCAGCGGTTCTCAACCTGTGGGTCGCGACCCCTTTGGCGGTCGAACGACCCTTTCACAGGGATCGCCTAAGACGATCCTGCATATCAGATATTTACATTACGATTCATAACAGTAGCAACATTACAGTTATGAAGTAGCAACGAAAATAATGTTATGGTTGGGTCACAACATGAGGAACTGTATTTAAAGGGCCAGAAGGTTGAGAACCACTGAGTTAGGGTGTCATGGGCCACAGCCCTAAAGTGAAAAGAAACTCTTTCAGGGGGTTAGAACCCAGAACTTCAGCAGGGGTTAAGAACCAGAATCACACCAGTAAGTAAGAAACCTAGAACTTTACCTGGAGCTAAGAACCCAGAACTTGACCAAGAGGTGAGACCAGAACTTGACCAGGAGGTGAGACCAGAACTACACCAGGAGGTGAGACCAAAACTTTATCACAAGGTGAGACCAGAACTACACCAGGAGGTGAGACCAAAACTTTATCACAAGGTGAGACCAGAACTACACCAGGAGGTGAGACTTGTACTTCACCAGGAGATGAGAACAGAACTTCACCAGGTGAGACCAGAACTCTGAATAGAGAGAAACTTGGTGGCTGTACAAGACCAGGTGTCTTTTTAAAAAATATATATTTTATTGATTTTTTACAGAGAGGAAGAGAGAGGGATAGAGAGTTAGAAACATCGATTAGCTGCTTCCTGCACACCCCCTACTGGGGATGTTCCCGCAACCAAGGTATATGCCCTTGACCGGAATCGAACCTGGGACCTTTCAGTCTGCAGGCTGACGCTCTATCCACTGAGCCAAACCGGTTGCAGCAGTTCTCAACCTGTGGGTTGCGACCCCTGAAAATACATCCTGCATGTCAGATATTTACATTACAATTCATAACAGTAGCAAAATTACAGTTATGAAGTAGCAACGAAAATAATTTTATGGTTGGGGGTCACCACAACATGAGGAACTGTATTAAAGGGTCGCGGCATTAGGAAGGGTGAGAACCACTGGGGCAACACCGGGTGTCTTGATAGACTATGTCTACTTCCTTAAATTTTCTACCTCACCAATTTCTACAAAGATGGATTTGAGGTTACAATACAACACGTATTAACAATGCTATTTATTAAGGATAAAAAGAGTAAGAGAAGCGTAAGGTGAGAGAGAGAAGTGCCAGGAACTCATTGCTGCCATCAGGCATGAAATCGGCTCTGAGCAGAGGGCAGCGGGCAGGGCGCCATTTGGAAACACACTCTCTCAGAATCCGTCCAGAACCACGTCCCAGAGAGAAAAGGGTAACTCTTCGAAGCTCCCCCCACATATTAATCCAATATTAATCCATCTACTTATATTTTGGTATATTTCCTTCACCTCCAAATCCTTTTTCTATTCTAGTTTCTAACCATTTTAAATATGATTAAGGGCATACTTGATAGGAAATCTTAGGAAATCTTATATCTTACATTTTTTCATTTGTCATTTTAAAGTAATTTTCCACATTGTTGTAAACTTTCCATAAAACTCATTTATAATAGAAATTTACTGGAAAGAGTGAATATTGACACCAAATAGGAAAATTAAGAAGGCTAATTTTAAAATGAGGAGGATAAGCATCTACTAGTAAATGGAAGGGAAAAGATTATTTGTGGGATCATGAAAATTCTGTTCACCCCAAAGCTATTTAAAAACAAAAATCCACCATCAAGAGGGTAATAGTTTGGAAAACTCCATAAAGGTCATTTTTAATGACTGCATAATAATTTATAGCACTCTCTCAACAATAATTATTTTGTGTCATTCTCTCCTGCTCCCCAACTTTTCTCTATTTTTAAACTGTTGCAAAACCCTTGTATAAAATTCCGGGGGATCATTGGCCTTCCTGTGAGACAAATGCATCACGCAGGTATTTTGACCTGCCACTCCTGTTTCTATGCTAGGGGCAATTAGAGTCATATTACTTCACTACTTCAGACATTTGTGTCAGTTCCACTCTTTTGCTCTTACCAATTGTTTTGCATGAATACCTTTTAAAAAATTACTACCATATGACCCAGCAATCCCTCTTCTGGGTATCTACCTGAAAACTTTGAAAACATCTGTTTGTAAAGATACATGTATCCCTATGCTCACCGCAGCATTATTCACAGTAGCTAAGACTTGGGAACAACTGAAGTTCTTCAATAGATGATTGTTTAAAGAAGAGGTGGTACATATACACTATGGAATACTAACCAGCCATAAGAAAAGATGAAATACTGCCACATGCAACAAGATGGATGAGTCTTGAGAGTATCCTGCTAAGCAAAATAAGTCAGATGGAAAAGGACAAATCCTTTCTTTAATTCTAGTTTCTAACCATTTTAAATATGATTAAGAGCATACTTGATAGGCAATCTTGACTTCACTAATATGTAGAATATAAAACAGGAAGCAACAAGTAAACACACAACACAAATAAACAAACTTATAGACACAGACAACAGAATGGTGGTTACCAGAGGGAAGGAGGTTGGGGGGAAGACGAAGAGGGTAAAGGGGTCAAATATATGGTGATGGAAACTAGACTTTGGGTGGTGAGCACCTAATGCAATATACAGGTGATGTAGTATGGAATTGTACACTTGAAAGTTATATAATCTTATTAACCAATGTCACCCCAAACTATATATATAAAAGGCTAATAGCAAAGTGTCCCCTCGGGAGTTCGACCAGGAGACTGGGAGTTTGATCGCTCACTATGATGTGCACTGACCACCAGGGGGTGGCACGGAATGAAGGAAGGCAGCCAGAAGGCCCCAACTGGCCCTGATTGCTGGCCAGGCCTAGGGACCCTACCCATGCATGAATTTCATGCACTGGGCCTTTAATAGATTTCATAAAAAGATGGGCATTATAGGATTTGCCTTGTCTACCTCACAAAGTTGTAGTAAAACTCTAAAGAAATCATTTTAAAAAATGACTTTCTTAGATTTCCTTAGAATACAATCGAAATTCTAGAAGAGCCAATTTTAACCAAATACATCCCTATTCTTTCTCCACCTTCCACATTCTCCTTTGCTTGGCTCATCTTGGGGCCCAAATCCCTGCTGCCCGTTTTCCTAGGAGCATCCTGCTCTGGAGACAGGCCCACGCGCTTCCTTTTCTTTCGAGCACTTTTTTCTTTCTCAAATCTGGCTCCTATTGCTCTCCTTCGTGAATGTCAGACTACATGATGGACCTTCTGACTTAAAAGGCAAAGATTAACAAAAAAAGGAAATGATTTCAAAAAATGGACAATCCTCTGACATTCTGGAACAGGCAAAACTATAGAGACAAAGATTGGTGGATGCCATGGGGGCAGGGTGGCGTTGACTAGAAGAAACTTTTGGAGTGAAGGGTCCATCACAATCACCATCTTGATTGTGGTGGTGGTTATACAACTGTTAGTTCTGGGCAAAACTCATAGGACTATACTTCAAAAAGGATGCATTTTTGCTGTATATAAATTATATACCTCAATTAAAAAATGATCCTTAGGCAAATCCAAATTAGGAGACATTCTATAGAAGAACTAGCCTGACTCTTCAAAAATACCAGTGTCTCTCTCTCTCTCTCTCTCTCTCTTTCTCTCTCTCTCTCTCTCACACACACACACACAAACACAACATAAAAAAATTCAAGAAACTGTTCAAAGTTAAAGAAAACTGAAAAGACCTAATAACTAAACACCATGGGTGATCTTACATTAGGTCCTGGCCTGAAAAAAATTGCTGCAAGGAACAGAATTGGGACAATTAGTGAATCTAAAATATGGATTGTAGATTAGATAATAGTATTGATATTGCTGTAATTAACCTAGTTATGAGTAACTGGAAAGGAACAAAGGGAAGGCCAAATATATATATTTTTATTAAATCTTTTGCTTATTTTTATTTCTTAAATTAAATCTTTATTGTTGAAAATATTACATATGCCCCCCTTTGTCGCCCATTGACCCCGTTTAGCCCACCCGTTCCCCACCCCAGGCCTTCACCACTCTGTTGTCTGCGTCCGTGGGGTGTGCATCTCTGCACACGGTGCTTTGGTTGATCTCTTCCCACCCACTCACCCTCAGCAGGAGGCCAAATACTACGGGCCTGCCACTTGTGCAGCTTCGCCAGGAAGCTGCAGTCTAGATGCCCAGTAAAGTCTGGGTGGAATAGGGGAGGCACTCGTCTGTCAGTCACACCTGGGAACAGGTCACTGGTCAGAGTAGGTGTGGCCCCTGTAAGTGCAGCATGATAAGGCGGGCAAAGTCATTTGGTCTGGCCTTGCCAAGCTATTAGGGGTGAGTTAATTAAATGTTTGACCAAATATAGCAGGCTAATTTTTTTTAAATATATATTTTTTTATTATTGATTTCAGAGAGGAAGGGAGAAGGAGAGAGAGAGAAGCATCAATGATGAGAATTATGGATCAGCTGCCTCCTGCCTGTCTCCTACTGGGGACTGAGCCCACAACCCAGACATGTGCCCTTGACTGGAATTGAACCCAGGACCCTTCAGTCCACAGGCTGACGCTATATTCACTGAGCCAAACCAGCCAGGTAGCAGGCTAATTTTTAAGTTGATAATTTTGTGTGGCCCTTGAATAATGTTATAGTATCCAGATGGCTATTGGCAGAAAAAAGTTTCCCCACCCCTGGGAAAGGAATCAGCTCTTTCGGTTATGTGGACACTTGCTCTTAGTTGACTCCTGGCTTGCGGGGCCCTCATGCTTCTGCATTTGCCCACATGGCCCACAGCCATGTGGACCCCACACACAATGGACTAGGGAACTGCACCGCTTAATGCTACACCACACCCAGCTCCACCAGGGAACGGACACTCCGGACACTGGCCTTGCTCCTAGCTCTGCTGAAGGCCCAGCTGCACATCTCCCAGGACTGGGTCAAGGGAAATGGAACTCTGGGAATCCAGAGATGTAATCCCACTCAAATGAAAATCACCCATCCTCCTGTGCAAATCTCAGCAAACTCTTTTACTCAAGATATAGTAAGGATTCCACTCCCACTCGCTACAAAGAAAGACCATCCACGCATTTCTTGGGTAATAGTACTGAGCCGATGTTACATTTCCTGAGTTTGATAACTGTGCCGTGGCGAGGGCCACATCTCCCGGGTCTGAGGAGGCATGATCTGAAGTATGGAGGGGGTATGACAGGCAAACATGCTGTCAAATGGTTCAGAAAGAACACAAACATATGGAAAGAACAAAACGTCAGCATGGCAAATGGATGGGAGGTCTTTGAATTACTCTTGCAATTTTTCTAAAGTTCAGTTATTTCAAAAATTTTTTTAAAAATATATTTTATTGATTTTTTACAGAGAGGAAGGGAGAGAGAGAGAGAGTTAGAAACATCGATGAGAGAGAAACATCGATCAGCTGCCTCCTGCACATCTCCTACTGGGGATGTGCCCGCAACCCAGGTACATGCCCTTGCCCGGAATCGAACCTGGGACCTTTCAGTCCGCAGGCCGACGCTCTATCCACTGAGCCAAACCAGTTTCGGCTCAAAATTTTTTAAAAATTTAAATGGCAACAATGTATTGGATCAACACACAACCCCTCGTCCAGGGATAAAGGGCTGACTTCTTTAGATAAGAGGAAGATGCCAGGAAGATGAGAGTTAGTGCAGAGGTTTGCAAACCTTTTTTGGAAAAGCAGAACCCAATCTTCAAGTGGAAACAGAACCTAATGCCATCATCAAACCTGGGCAGGTCAGAGCTGCTCGCCCGGCCCCCTCGCCCGCAGAGCAGTTTGAGCTCCATTGCTGAGAACACCTCTGCCCACTCCTGGGCCAGCCGGCCCCCATCCCACTCACCGTCCGTGTTCTCCAGCACCGTGCTGTGCTTCACAAAGGCCACGTCCCCGGCCCCTTCCGCCAGGCACCTGCCGAGGAGAAAGCTGTGAGCCTGGCTGGCGACGAGCTCCCGGAGCCCTCGGCCCTGCCCAACCTCCACCTCTGGAGGCCTGGCCTGGATGTGGGGTGGCCATGGTGGGCCTGGGCTGCCAGCTCTCTGTGTGGGAGCCTTCCTAGCCTCATCACCTGTGAAGTGAGGGTGGAAAGGTGGCTCCTGTGGGGAGAGATCCTGTGTGACCCGTATAGATCCTGCACATCCGGGGCCTCCAAGGAGCGGAGCTCCTGTGGCAGCTGCTACTGGCAGCAGCAGCCGCCTCCTGCGCAGGTTTGGAGATGACTCTGCCCTGAGGCCGGGGATGGACTAGCCCAGTGATGGCGAACCTACGACACGCGTGTCAGAGGTGACACGCGAACTCATTTTTTTTGGTTGATTTTTCTTTGTTAAATGGCATTTAAATATATAAAATAAATATCAAAAATATGTCTTTGTTTTACTATGGTTGCAAATATCAAAAAACTTCTATATGTGACACGGCACCAGAGTTAAGTTAGGGATTTTCAAAATGCTGACACGCGGAGCTCAGAGGGTTCACCATCACTGACCTAGAGCTCTCACGCCATAACAAAAACTCGGAGTGCAAGGGACCGGACTGTTATGCATCCTCCGTATGTGGCAGCCCAGGCAGGGAGGCGGGGCAGCGGGCTGCCTGGTCCAGGGGGAGCACACAGGAGAGGGGTGGGCGAGCCTCTGGCTTGAGGACTGAGGACTGTTTTTCTCTCTGTGCTCAACACCACACTGACCCAGACCCCGGCCTGGAGCGTGCCCCCCGCAGTCCCCCCCCCCCCCCCGCCCCCGCCCGAGGTTCGAGGGGCTCGATGGGCTTCCATGCCAGTCCCCGCGGAGCACGGCTCCTTTTTTAAGGACAGACAGATGTGCACCACAGCTGTTAGGCTGTCTTCTGGATCCACACAGGCTCCTCTAAAATGCCAGCCTGAGCGCGAGATCCCTGGCAAGCTCCCCGCCCCCACGCCCTCCCTGCAGCTCGGAGACACGCCATGGGCCCAGGGAGTGGCAAAAGGTTGTTTTGTCCTTCTCTTCTCTCTGAGCCCTCGCCTCTCTAAATATAGCAAACACGTTGATTTATGAGCAATTCCAGCCTGGCGTGTTCCGGTGTGTTGTTTTTAAGTCAGCCAGGGCACATGAACTACATAAAGGGCGCTTTGATGTGATGCAGCGACATGGCCGCTCCCCCGCCCCCGCCCTGCCCTCCCTGCCTGAGTGTTTTCCCAGCTCTCGCAGCCCCAAGGCCTCACCCCTGACTCAGCTGGCCGCCCCCCTGAGCGCCAGCCCCCCCAGGCACTCACCGGAAGGCCCCGCTGTAGTCGTAGTATCTCTCCTGGGGGCTCTTGTCACACACGCCCTCCCCAGCCGCGTTGCCCCGGCAGAGGCGACAGAGGGACTTGGAGTAACTGGTCTCTCCTGCCCCCGGGACGCAGCTGCCCCCAAAATACTCGCTGACAGCTGCGGGAGGAGAAGAGGGCGGTCAGGGTCAGCCAGCTGTGCAGCGGGGCCAGGCCTGTCCCTGTCCCCGAGGGCCCTGTCCCCAGGGCCGGCGCAGGCCACTCAGGCTGGAGGGGAGGGCTGGCTCCCCAGGGACAGGGCTGGACCCTTCAGGCTTCAGTTTGAGCAAAACTGGGGAGCTGGATCCCATCGGTGATTCCCAAACTGGGGCCACAGAAGTGTGGGCATTGGGGAGGGGCCCTTGTTCTTCAAAAAATGGCTCAGGAAAGAAACCACTTACCCCCAAAGGCCGCATGGGACAGTTAAGTGTCAACTAGATACTGTTCTCATTGAGGCTTTCACGTCATCAGTATGGCTCATCCACGAAAGCAGGGAAAGACAGCAAGTGTGACTTAAGGAGTATCATTAGTTTGATAGACAGGCTTCTCAGAACAGGGAGGGGGGCACCGAGAAGAGGGAGGCGTTGTGGGCAAAGAGGTCGGACTCGTGGTTCCAGGCCCTGCCAGCCCGGAGGCCCATGCCCACCCTCTTGACAAATATTTGTCCTGTGCTGAGGACAGCGCCGTGCGGGGAGCAGGGAGCCAGTCACAGGGTGCTCATCACCAGACAGACGTACCTTTTCCAGGACGGGCCCTTCTGGGTCTCTTTCTGCATCCTCCCAGGGGAGGAGCAGGTACTAACTGTGCCCAGTGACTGATCAACCACCCACACCAGCGCCGTCTGAGAGGACATGGCTTCCGGGCTTTTGTGGGTCGTGCTGGTTTACCCCGTGGTGGGAGCCATGTACACATGGGTACATGTGTGTGCACTGTGGGTTTGTGCATGTGTGTACATGATGCATGTGTGTGCACAACAGTGAGGTGCCCACGGAGAGGTGTGGAAGGTGAACTCATAATAATGACAGCTCCGTGAGGTGAGCACATATCCCGCCCCATGCATCGTGCGAAGACAGTGTGTGAATCATCTCAGTCCTCCCAACCCCACAGAGCTCTCCTCGCCTCATCCCTGCTGGTCCCCTGGCAGGGCAGCCTCCCTCCAGGAGCTGTCGTTAATTTTCCATTTCACACGATGAGGAAACTGAAGTTCAAGGAGCTAGAGTAACCCCCTGAGGGCAGACCATCTGTCTGACAGCAAACTCAGGGCTTTAAAAGACCATTGTTTCTCCTGCAAAATCCTGTATCCTGAACCCACCCCCAGAAGCACTGGTCAGCGAACCAGTAGGCAGCACACTGTGGACAAGGGATTTGGGGACACCACAAACTCTACTGGGGTGGGGGTGATCCCAGGAGGACAGTTTGAGAACGTGGTGGCCACGTGTCAGGGGCCACCTCAGCTCTGTATTGTGTCTACTGTGGAGAGAGTGACAGCCAGGTGGCCAGGAAAAGAAGCCCACAGCATGAGAAGCAGGCTCCCACTCTTAGCCGGACCCTCAGGCCTTCACTGACACCCCCATGCATTGCATTCTCAGCCACCCCATTCAGCTCACCCTCAGCTCCCTTCTGCAGAACTTCCTGTCTGCACGACAGCCTTATTCCCTGTCAAATAGACCAGTCAGGGAGCAGCAAGTCTCTGACTCGCTACATGTGAACTTTCTGGGTACAAATCAGCAGCTTGTTTGGGTCCTGAAGAAAGAGAGTTTCTAGCCCTGACCCGTTTGGCTCAGTGGGTAGAGTGTCAGCCTGCAGACTCAAGGGTCCCAGGTTCGATTCCGGTCAATGGCATGTACCTTGGTTGCAGGCACATCCCCAGTAGGGGGTGTGCAAGGGGCAGCTGATCGGTGTTTCTGACTCTCTATCCCTCTCCCTTCCTCTCTGTAAAAAAATCAATAAAATATATTTTTTTTAAAAAAGAGAGAGTTTCTAATTCTATGAAGTTGAGGACACGTTTCTGGAAATAGCGACCTACACCAGGTCTATACCAGGTGAGGGCTGCTCTCTGGTAAGTCACCAGGTCCCAGTGGGTGAGTGAGAGCTGAGTGCTCTGGGGGGCCTCCCCAGAAACTAAAACAGCGGCGACAGTGGGCGGCCCAGCATGAAGACAGGAGGGGCCGAAACACCCACTAGGTGTCTGGAGGCCCCTGGAGAGGGGGGACTGTGCGGCTCCCTAAAGAAGATGCAAGATGAAGGCGAGCCTGGAGGGAGGCTGCCCTGCGAGGGGATCAGTAGGGATGAGGCGCGGAGAGCAGAACCCAGAGGCCCAGGAGAAGCGGCTGCCGTGGAAGCCCTCACCTCTGAGCACGTCGCAGCCCATCACCGAGAGGCTGCCGCTCTCCACCAGGTAGCCCACGGGCACGTTCCAGCCCACCGTCCTGTTGATGCCCGTGTGGCAGGACTTCACGCCCTTCAGGGTGTTGATGGTCAGGTTGGAGCTCCTGTTGACCACGGCTACCGCATAGTAGGAGGTACCAACCTCTGGACAGAAGAGAGGGGAGGAGTGAGGGCAGCAAGGGAGAAGCCACGAGAGAGGCCGGGGCCCTGCCCGGGAAGGCTGTGGGGAGCGGGTGTGTGTGTGCCACGCAAACTCGCACATGAATGCGTGTGTGTGTGGATGTACACGCGTATGTGTGCTTGGGGTTCTCATTACTGAGAGAGCCAGTGAGTGCAAGCCATGTGTCTTATTACAGACCCCGCCCTCCTCCACCCTCACGTGGTAGATATTAGTTCATTAGTTAATTTTCACCTTTCCTTCCCGAGTCAGCTGGCACATAGCTGGATCTATGTCTATGTCAGGGGAGCTCTGCAGCTGGACCAATAGCAGGAGTGGCCTGCGGGTTTTGTTTTCCAAAAGTGAAGCCCTTCGGAGAACTTAGGAGGACTGAGGGAATGGTATTGTGGTTATGGGAAAAGTGAGGGAATGGTATTGTGGTTATGGGAAAAGTGAGGGAATGGTATTGTGGTTATGGGAAAAGCGTGGTTGAGAGGAGCAAGGCAGCGGCTTCCCCCAGGTTAGAAAAAGTGATTTCCTAGTGCTGAGGGGAAAGGAGAGATAGATAGATGGATAGATAGATAGATAGATAGATAGATAGATAGGATAGATAGGATAGATAGGTGATAGACAATAGGTAGGTAGATAGATGATAGATAGATAGATAATAGATAGGTAGATAGATAGATGGATAGATAGGTGATAGACAATAGGTAGATAGATAGGTAGGATAGATAGATAGGTAGGTAGGTAGATAGATAGATAGAACAATGTGGTCTCACATCACTCAAAATTCTGACCAGGGTGCATGTGGGTGGGCAGGAGTCTGTATCCTGGCAACAGATTCCCCTGGGCCAAATACGGCGGAGAAGGTGCCATTCACACAAGAGAGGAAGAGCTCATCTCTGGGGACAGATGACCAGAGGACACCCTATAGGTTAGCACGAGTGTGCACAACTTGACTGCCCCGTGTGGTGGGCCCGCGATCAGAATGAAGCTGAATTCTAGAAAACAAGCCAGTGTTGTTTCTTGCACACCTGCACCTGGCCCCTGGCGCCCTAAGTGGCCTTTCGGGTCCCACCCTCTGACTTGCCCACTGTGCCTTTCTCTTTAGTTCCTTGAGCATACCAGCTCTTTGCCGCCCGGGACTCTGGTCCGGGCTCCACTTACTGTCACCTCCCCAGATAAGCCCTCCTGTCCTGTCTGCTCTGTTTCCACACCCCCCCCCCCCCCCACACACACACGCCTTATTTTCTCCCTCATGGCCTTTACTTTTTCACGCACGCACCACATCTGTAACTACATTTTTTTGGTGTTTATTTGTTTACTATCTGACTCCTGCTCTTTGGGGGCAGACACTGGCTCTCTTTTGCTTACTGCTCTATGCTCATGACTGGCATGTAGGAGGTGCTTAATAAATGTGTTGAATTAAAGAGGAAGAGCTGTTTCTGGCCGACGAGTGAAAGGCTGGCTGGTTTGCAGGGCTGGGCTGTGTCCTGTGTCATCAAGTAGCCAAGTAACCAAGAGGGACCCTGTGCTGGGCACCGAAGATGAGGACCAGGGCCTCCTCAGGGACTCGCTGTGGTGACAAGGAAAACAAGACCGAAGGGGCCACGACCTGAGCAGCGTGAGTCAGTGCTCTGGGAAGCAGGAGACAGAGGCCCTTTGCAGGGGCGGGAAGACCCAGGGGAGCTCCTTGGAAATGACAACCGAGCTGGGCTGTGACGGAGGCTAGGCCTTGGACCAGGGGACGTGGTGGGAGAGGTAAAGGGCAGGCTGAGCCCGAGGTGTGTCTGGTCTGAGGTGCAGGGATGGGGGCAAAGGGACTCACATTTCCAACCACACATGCTCCCACATGGACTCAGTGAGTCTGTGTGACAGGGCAAGGGTCACTGTCCCCATTTTACAGTCAAGGAAGTGGAGGTTGCCTGAGGTCACAGGAGGTCACAGGAAACGGCAGAGCTGGGAGTCATGCTTGGCCTGTGGGCTCTGCAGCTCCCGGTCACCACCTCTTGCCTGGCCCCACCCCCACTCCTGCAGCGTCTGACAGATGCCACTCAAATGTGAGGCAGCTGAGCTCTACCGATGCCTTGACCACCCCAGGCGATCACGCCCAACACTACACCAGGCTCGGGCAGCCCCTCCGTAAGAGTTTGTGGGTGCGAGTTAGGGGGCTGCTGGGATCCCTGTGAGGAAGAACAGATGCGGGTCAGCCCTCTGCATCTCTGGCATCCCCCTCGCAGACATTTAGGGCGGCCTCTGAAGGTTTGTGTGGCCAGGACTCCAGGACTGCTCTGAGGACAGGGCGACTGACCAGCTCCAGGGAGTCAGGGCAGGGCCAGGCCCAGCGAGGACACTGCTGACTTCCGCTCTCCCCCCACCTCCTCCCACTGGGCCCTCTGACCTTGATCATACACTTCACCCACCACGGGCTTCAGGCCGTGCTCCTTCCCCGCCTCATAAATGGCTCCTCCGTCCAGAGTGATGGCATCTGCCTCCCCAGCCTGCTGGGACACGTGAGTCAGCACCCTCACCCCTGCTCCCCAGCCTTCCCCACCCCTGCTCCCCAGCCTTCCCCACCCCTGCTCCCCAGCCTTCCCCACCCCCCTGCTCCCCAGCCTTCCCCACACCCCTGCTCCCCAGCCTTCCCCAGCCCCCCGCTCCCCAGCCTTCCCCACCCCTGCTCCCCAGCCTTCCCCAGCCCCCTGCTTCCCAGCCTTCCCCAGCCCCCTGCTCCCCAGCCTTCCCCACCCCTGCTCCCCAGCCTTCCCCACCCCCCTGCTCCCCAGCCTTCCCCAGCCCCCTGCTCCCCAGCCTTCCCCAGCCCCCTGCTCCCCAGCCTTCCCCACCCCTGCTCCCCAGCCTTCCCCAGCCCCCTGCTCCCCAGCCTTCCCCAGCCCCCTGCTCCCCAGCCTTCCCCACCCCCTGCTCCCCAGCCTTCCCCAGCCCCCTGCTCCCCAGCCTTCCCCACCCCCCTGCTCCCCAGCCTTCCCCAGCCCCCTGCTCCCCAGCCTTCCCCAGCCCCCTGCTCCCCAGCCTTCCCCACCCCCCTGCTCCCCAGCCTTCCCCACCCCCCTGCTCCCCAGCCTTCCCTACCCCTGCTCCCCAGCCTTCCCCAGCCCCCTGCTCCCCAGCCTTCCCCAGCCCCCTGCTCCCCAGCCTTCCCCAGCCCCCTGCTCCCCAGCCTTCCCCAGCCCCCTGCTCCCCAGCCTTCCCCACCCCTGCTCCCCAGCCTTCCCCACCCCCCTGCTCCCCAGCCTTCCCCACCCCACCCACTCAGGGACACCCACTCAGGGCCCCCTGAAAAGCCCGGGAGGTCCACCCTGTCCTGGGTCAGCCTTGCAGGCCCCTCCCCCACCAGGGCGCAGGGGACAGCTCTCCTAGGCTATGGGCTCACCTTGTTTTTCTAATTATGTTATTTGAAAAATATTACTTTTAAAGGACTTATAATGGACGTACATGGTAACAAATCAGATAGTACAAAATGGTGCGGAGTGAAAAGTGAGTCTCCCTCGCTCTCCCGTTCCCAGCCCCTGCCAACCCGCTCCCCAGGTTTCCTCTCTGCCATGCAGACTGACTCGCATACATGCATGCCCGCGTCCATTCCCCCTTTTCCTTAAAACACAAACGGCACCCTACTGTCACATGTCATGGCGTCCATGAACAGAATTACAGTTCCACAGAGGTGGTTTGCGCCCTCAGAGTGGACCTGGCCCGGGCCCTGGGCCCAGGTGGGACTGGATGGGGCCTGGGGGCCTGTCAAAGGCTGAGGGGACCGAAAGCCCAGGGCCCCTGTGCCTGCCCCGGAGGCTCCCCCGCACCTGTCCTGCCCCTCAAGTCCTGCCTCTGAGTTAGCAGGTCTCCTGCCTCTCAGAACTGCTTTCCCACACCCCACTCGCCACCCAGGACCTCTGTCCCCCGGTCCTCCTTCCCCAGAAACCCCACAAGCCCCGATCTGGAAAACTCCGTGGCGCAGTGAGGGCCCCTCCACCGAGGAGTCTGCTGGGGGCTCCCCTCAGCGGAGTGGGCAGTGTCCCCAGTCCAGCAGGGGCCTGGGGGAGGAAAGCTCTGCCTCGGACACCTTTCCCGCTGCGGGCGGGCGCCCCTCTGAGCAGGGGCCTCTCCTAGGCCTCCTGGCGCCTGGCTGGGGCCTGGCTGGGGCCGGGCAGGAAACAGACGGCCCTAGTTACCTGGGAAACTCAGGCGATCCTATCGCCCAGCCCTGGCGGGGGACACCCGTGCCCTTCCCAGTGAATGAGGCTGTTGTGTGCTCCCTCCTGAGTCAGAGGCCTCTTGTCCGGCGGGCGGAGGTGGCAGAGCGGACGGAGGGGACTCACCGTGATCAGCTGGATGCAGTGGTCGGCGGAGGCGCCCTGGACGCACCGCAGGGCGGGCTGGATCCCAGCTCTCCGGAAGGCGTTGCTCATGTCGCTGCACTTCTGCTGCTCCGGGTCTGAGGTGGAGCACCACCGCGCCTCCATCCCGCTGAGCGCTGGGGGCAGGGGACAGTGAGGCCCTCCGAGGAGGGGGGCGCCAGCAGCTCTCGGTGGCCCAGCCTGCTGAGCACCCCCCCCCCCCCGGGGACACTGAGGCACAAAGAGGTGCCCCTGACTGGCAGGGCCGTGCGTGGGGCCATGCATGTCCCCGTGCTCAGGGTAGATGGGTGGCTGGAGCCTGGCCTGGCCCATAACAGAGGCAAGGGCGTGCCTCCAGGTATCAGCTGGCTACCGTGGCCCTCGGGCCATCCTGGGAGGCCTGCGGCTCTGAGATAGGCCAGCTCCTGCCCCTCTTGGGGTCTCTGGGCCTCCTCACGACTGAGGAAGAAGGCAGGGAAGTGGTTGTGGCTGGCCTTGAGGAGCCTTGCGCCCTCCTGGAGCATCTGTGATCATGCCCGTGGCAAACCCACCCTCAGGGGGCGCAGCGCCAGGCCCCTAACAAGGGGAGGCCGGGGAGACAGCAGCCTCGCTCCAGTTCCTGCTGCTCCAGCTGGTGACTCAGACAACGGGCTTGACCTCTCTGATCCCGTTTCAGATGAGCAGCCCAGCTCTGTGTTGTGAGTAAACCTAAGCTGAGCCAGGACACGGGCCTCAGTGGCCGCCAGCCTAGGCCCCTCCCTCTGGGGGGACCCTGTCGGGGCCCTGATCCGACCAGGCCAGAGTCCCGAGCGCTGCACCTCGGGACCCAGAAGAGCGGTGCCAGGGCTCCCCAGTTCCCGAGGCTGATGCCTTTGCAGACCCAGCTCCCCTGCACCCGCCCTGCCCAGCCAGGCTGCCGGGACCCCTGCGCGCCCCCGGCAGCCAGCGCTTCCCACCCCCACGCCAAGGGTCAAGGCTGCGGGTGTCCTCATCCTCCCTTCCACTACCCTCCGCCTCCCCAGCCAGGGCGGCGCCCCGGAATGTGGAACCCCCTGCCCGCCCCCCCCCCCAACCCCCAGTGCTCCAGGACTGCACCCTGGAGGGCGGCGACCGCAGATCGGACAGGGGTGGCGGGTCAGAGCGGTGCCTGAACCCGCCTGGCAGCAGGCTCCGCCCGAGACCCCTGCAAGCAGCTACCGAGGTCCCGCCCCCGTCCCACAGTCCCGGCCCTGACTCCCTTGGGAGGGGGCGGTGCGGAGCCGCGTGGGGGCCCCCTTCTCCACCCCTGCGCCCTGCAGTCTCCCCCTCTCCCCTCCCTCCCCGGACTCTTCTCCTGTCTCCGTCCCGAGGGGCCGCCGGAGAAGTGGAGCCGCTCTGGCCCCCAAACCTCCTCTGGCTTCCGCCCCCTCCACGGCCTCCCGACACCCGGTTCTCTCCTCCCCGCCTCTGCCCGCGCATCAGCAGGTCCGCTTTCTCCAGGCCCAGCTCCATGCCGCTTCCTCCGCGAAGCTCTCCAGACTTCCCAGTCCGCCCGGCTCAGCGCTAGTTCCCCTAACCGTCCTCGTCCGCTAGACGCGGGTTCAGGACACACTTCCCAGCCCCCGGGTCCTGCTCAGGGGCGGTGGAGAGCTCCGGGACCCCGCCCCGGCTCCTGCTCCTCACCAGTGCGCAGAGCCAGGAAGAGCCACAGAGCCACAGTCGGGACCCGCATGGCGGGCGCCGTCTACAGCCGGGTTGGGTCTAGGTCTGGGTCCGAGTGGGTCAGCAGGAGCCGGAGCTCTGTCCCTCCTTCCTCCCTGCCCGGGCTCTCAAGCTAGTTAAGTGTGTCTGGGGCGTGCCTTGGCGGTGTCCACGCCCCTAGGGCGCACCCGCCCACCCAGACTGGACACCTGGGATGACCAGACTGGCCTTGGCCTTCTCTCTGGCGCCCCTTGCTGGAGCCTCGGCGGGTGCAGGGGCTCGAGCTTCACCGCTGGGTGTCTGGATCCCCGTGCTCACCTGGGCACCACACTCAGCTGTCCCTGGGAGTCAGGTATCTGCTCTCCGAGGCCTGATTCCCTCATCTCAAGGGCTCTGTCTCAACCATCGCCGGCCTGCGGGAGCATCTTCACTTCCTCGCCTAGACCCCAGATACCATGTTCAACTGGAGAGGGAAAAGCTCCGATTTGGAAGGAAGAAGAGGTCAGAGTCTGGGCTGGAAGGACGCTCAAAGGCCATCGAGTTCACTCTCCAACCTCTCTTCAAGCACACATTGCACCAGGGATGTGGGGATACAGAGACAAACCCTGATGGACACAGTCCTGGCTGGGAAGCAGCTGGGGGGCGGGGTGTGTGTGGGGGGGATTTCTCATTCTAGGCAACTGCCTCTCCTGGGACCTCCTGAGGAAAGTGAGTTGCCCAGGTCACTCATTTGTCAGTAACAGAGTTGGGACTAGAACCCAGATGGCCAGCAGAGCCTGGCTCACTCCATTAGCTTTGGAAGGTGGGAAGAAGACCCAAGAGGGGGAGAGGGGGAGGAAGCAGAAAAGGACAAAGCCGATGAGAGGAGGAAGCGAGTGAAGAAGGCGAGGGAGGAAAGGATGGGTTGTCTGTTTCTCTAGGCCACTGGTTTTCAAAGTGTGGTTCCCAGACCAGCAGCAGTGTAACCTGGAACTTGTTAGATACACAAATTGTCAGGCCCACCTCTGACCCAATGAGTCAGAAACTCTGGGGGTAGGGCCAACACTCTATGTTTTTCTTTTTCTTTCTTTTAAGTATATTTTTATTGATTTCAGAGAGGAAGGGAAAGAGACAGAGAGATAGACTCATCAGTGATGAGAGAGAATTACTGATCGGTTGCCTCCTGCACTCTCCCCACTGGGGACCGAGCCCAGAACCCAGGCATGTGCCCTTGACCAGAACTGAACCCAGGACCCTTCCGTCCACAAGCCGACGCTCTATCCATCGAGCCAAACTGGCTAAGGCAGCCGAGGGCAAACTACGGCCCGCGGGCCGGATCCGGCCCGTTTGAAATGAATAAAACTATTGAAAAAAAAGACCGTACCCTTTTATGTAATGATGTTTACTTTGAATTTATATTAGTTCACATAAACACTCCATCCATGCTTTTGTTCCGGCTCTCCGGTCCAGTTTAAGAACCCATTGTGCCCTCGAGTCAAAAAGTTTGCCCACCCCTGGGCTAAGGCAACACTATGTTTTTTACCCTCGTGCACAGCAGAGTTTGAGAACCACTGTTCTAGGTAGACCAGGACTACAGCTCACCATGTGTGGTGGGGATGCAGAAATTGTTACTCAGTCATCCGCCTCCATTTATGTCCTTCTCTTTTATCACCCCCTCATGAGCACCCAGGACTGCGACCCTGCCTGCCTCAGGCAGAGGACATGTGTAATAAGAATGCTGAGTGAGAGAGAGGACCCCTGGGTCTGGGTTTGTCAGTCCTCCAGCCTGCTCTGCTCCCTGGGAAAGGAGGCCCTGGCTCCTGTGATTGGGCGGTGAAGCTGCTGCGTCTCACACATGGACATGATCATGGGGCGGGGCTTCAGGAGACCTGAGCTCTACTCTTACCGGTGTGACCTCCATACGGATGTCAAAGGTAGATCATGATTGCTCTGATGCACCGTTCTTCTTCCCCTAACACAGCGGTTCTCAATCTTCCTAAGGCCGTGACCCTTTAATACAGTTCCTCATGTTGTGGTGACCCCCAAACATAAAATTATTTTCGTTGCTACTTCATAACTGTAGTTTTGCTACTGTTATGAATCGTAATGTAAATCTCTGATATGCAGGATGTATCTTCATTGTTACAAATTGAACATAATTAAAGCCTAGTGATTAATCACAAAAACAATATGTAATTATATATGTGTTTTCTGATGGTCTTAGGCGACCCCTCTGAAAGGGTTGTTCAACCCCCAAAAGGGTCGCGATCCACAGGTTGAGAACCGCTGCCCTAATAGCTGTCTGCTCTGGAGAATTTGAGGGGGCATGTGTGGTGCAAGCTGTGTGTCCATCCCCAGCGGGAGTCACCAAAAGGAGGAGGCACCTCTTTCTAACTCGCACAAGTGGACTGGCAGGTGGCCCTGGCAGAGGGGCTATGGCCTCTCCGAAGGGCATGGAATACATAAAGTGTCCTTAGCAAGCCCTATCCTCCTGACTGAGGATGAAAAGGCTCATTTTTGCAACTCTGAGAGCAGCCAGAGGTATTGGCAGGGTTTGTGTTAAGTTGGTCCTTTAGCAAGGCTCCCGGTGACACTGATAAGGTGTCAGACAGCTGCAGCCTAAGAGCTTGCTGAGCTTCACAGCAGGGCCCTTTCCTCAACTCTCAGGCCACTCCCCCACTGTCTCACCAGGGAATTTGCTGTCTCTGGACTCCAGGGGCTTCGCGATCAGGCCCACTGCCTGGCTCTAACATGCACATAGCTTGTGTGTCATGGGGGACCCTGCCTCAGCTTGAGCCTGGATCCTGCCATTTCTGGGGTGTAGACATACCCAGGTGGTCAGAGGATTGGGGGGTGCAATGCGGGCATCATGAACTAGCAATTTTACCAAAGAACAGCCGTATAGAGAAGCAGAAGCACTAAGGTTAACTGGGTCCCCATTCTGGACTCATTGAGGTGAGAGTCTAAAAAATACAAGGACTGGTTTCACTGACGCTTCTGTAAGATGTTGGGGCCTAAGCAACACCGCTTTGGGACCCCTGACCCTATTCCATGATATGAAAGACAAAGAGCTCTTCTTCACTCTGCCAAGGCCACAGCTCTGGCATGGAGCTTGCTGGTCAGGGAACTGGAACACAGTAAAGGCCGCCTCTGGGTTCTCAGAGAGAAGAGGGAAGGTCCTTGGACAGAGGCAGAGAACGGTACTGGTGGGGTGAGAGGGCTAATGAGCCAGCCAAGTGTGGATGAACAAGTCTTCTGCCCAGAATATTAGGACAATTAATGGTTTTTCATTTCAACAAGTCATACTTTATATTTTTCTATGTCTAGGGGCTGTAATGTCTTTGACTAAGAACATGTCCAAACAATTTTTTATTCTGGGGACATTTGGATGAGCTGTTGTGCACAGAGAAAATTAGGAATGCAGCAGTAAATATGTTATCAAAGAATATCACCCTCTTACAGTAAGCCTCAATGTCATTGATAGGTTCTCAGAAACTGTAACTTTTAAGGGAAATGATGTATAACAAAACCAATTTACCATAGGCTAATTAGTATAAACAAGCGTTAAGTTCCTATGGCATATTTCTAGTCACAAAAATGTTTCCAAATCCCTGAATAAAGACCCAAACACTGCTTTTTTAAAAAATTTTATTTTCTTTATTGATTAAGGTATTACATATGTGTCCTTATCCCCCCCATTGCCCCCCACCCCCCTGCTCATGCCCTCACCCTCAAACACTTCTAATATTGAACTTTGAAATAAATGTGAACTATACAGACATTTAAGAAAGATCAGTAAAAACAAGTAAGATCATTGTTTTCCAACCTGCTTATTTCAGTTCAGGGTCTCAGTGGCCAGAACCTATCCTGGCACCACCCCCGGACTGGCTGTGCATGTAGGGCACATCCAGACACCCCACTCACTCAGACGGAGGCAACACAGACACCCCCCCGCCCCCGCCCCGTTCACCTGATGTGCACATTTTTGGGATGTGGGAGGAAACCAGGCGATCCGAAGAAAACCCACACTGATATGAGGAGGATGTGCAAACTCCACACAGACAGTGGCACCAGCAGGGAATAGGTTTTTTCTTCTCAACATTATACTGAAATGATGTTATTTGAGGACATGCTGTACTCCTGACATCATTCACCATGAATTTGCTGACTGGTCAATACATCTGAATTTGTATATTGAGATCAATGGTAGACATATTGAGGGTTTTGGGAACAAAAGTGTTTGCCACTTTACAAGTATTTTCCGTATGATGCTGGACTTGGGGAAGCCTGCTCAGAGATTTGACTTTGGGTGGTAGGCACATGGTGCTATATACAGATTTTTTTTTTAAACAGGTATGGAAGCAGGACTTTCATTCTTTCTTTTTAAAAAAATATGTTTTTATTAATTTCAGAGCAGAAGGGAGAGGGATAGAGAGATAGAAACATCAATGATGAGAAAGAATCATATAGATCAGCTGCCTCCTGCATGCCCCATAGGGATGAAGCCCACAACCCGGGCATGTGCCCTGACTGGGAATCGAATTGTGACCCCTGTTTCATAGGTTGGCGCTCAACCACTGAGCAACACTGGCCGGGGCTATATACAGATTTTGTAACTTAGAAATCCCCACATGAAACCCATGTGGTCATGTTGACCAATATCACCCAATAACAATTATAAGTATGAAAAAAAGAATCATTAAGATTAAAATGTGGGTGATGGAGAGGATATCCTATTAAGCACAACTGTTACTAACAAGATGTAGAAAAATAGTTAAAAGCTTTTTCCTAGTGAGACTGAGGAATGTCAGATAAACTAGACCTGAACTAATTACCGAACTTTCAGAAAAAAGAAAGAAATCTGCCACCAAAAGATATCGTTTCTAGTTTTAAATACCACTAGGAAAGTAGATATTTTTGATCCACTAACTCACAAGATTTAGAAAACTTTTTTGTAGAGCTTCATAGTGTAGAACATATGGGACTTTCATCGTCTTTAGCACTCCCATCTGTGAGTTAAATGAACCTAATTTTAGACATTCTAAAGAAAGATTACATCACTCGCTCTAATCTTTTCTTCCAGAAAATTCACTGTATCTTGTTTCACATGCTAATTGTTTTGTACAGACTTCTACTTAGTTAAAAATCCATTCTACTGTTAAACATTGTCCAAATGAAATGGGTCATTAACCCTGGATTAGAGAAAATACGGATGAATATATGCTCAATTTGAGCAGTTTATTCCCACTTAGGGCAAACACCAGTAACGCCTAAGGTATAGTCTAGAGCCATTTTAAAGGAGTGACCTGATATTTTTGAAAACACACATGTGAGAAATCAAGTCATATTGTGGTAAGAATGAAAAAGACCGACAAGGTCACGTGTGCTCAGCATGCAAAAGGGTTGAGTGTCAAACCAATCAATCAGAGACCAGCTCTGGCTCAAGGATTCCCTAAGTACGCCGCACTAGAAATACGATTTCTGTCAATCACAGAATATTAGTAATATTTAAGATGCAGAGAGGTTACCACCTAAAGAATATTGGTTGTTAATAACTTTAAAAAACAAACTACAATCCTTTGGGGCTCAACGAAGATTTTCTCAAGAGAGTAAGGCTGTCTTGGTGGACTATTTTCTAAATTGTTACCTTATTAGACAATCTCACTTTTAACAAATGGCTGGTTTCATTTGTTGCTCAGACCATTTTATCCTCATTTACTACTGCCCTAAATAGACGACTTCTTTCCCCTAGGACACCAGCAAGGAGAACGTGGTACCAGTCATGGGCACATCTAGCTATTGGATCATCTGAGTGTTATTCCTGGGAATTTGAAATTCTAAAAACTTTGCTTATTCTTGCCGTCTCCAGCTTTAGGAGCAAATTTGTTCTGTATCCAGGCCCCTGGGATCTGTCATTCTTCACTTAGTTTGTTTTAGGATGACAGCTCCTGTGCCGCTGCCACAGTGTGTGGATGCGTGCAGTAGAGATAGAGGTGGAGTGGGGCAAGGCCTGTCATGGCTGTGAGATCAGAAACCCATTTCTGGTTCTGCTTCTTGTTCCTGCAG